GTGCCCGCGCCGCAGCCCGTCACCGTCTGCTACCTCACCGACGACGGCCTCCTCGCCACCACTTAGTCACATGTGCGCGTGCGGTCGTGTGCGTGTGCGTGTGCGGTCGTGTAGGATTAAAAATTCTCTGAATTCCAGATCTAGAGGTGGGCGGCCTTGGAGTGGTGGCTGTCGGGCTTGGACTGCTGCCACTCGGTGTGGAAGGTCTTGCCGCGCGGCTGGTCGGTGCGCTCGTAGGTGTGGGCGCCGAAGTAGTCGCGCAGGCCCTGCAGCATGTTGGCTGGCAGCCGCTCGGTGCGTAGGGCGTCGTAGTAGGCCAGCGAGGCGCTCAGCCCTGGCACGGGGATGCCCCAGCGCACGGAGAAGGAGACCACCTCTCGCCAGTTCTGCTGGCAGTCGTCGATCACGCCCTTGAAGAAGTCGTCCAACAGGAGGTTCTCCAGATCCGGGTTCTTCTCAAACGCCGCCTGTTCATACAACACACACCACACGACCGACACACGACACACGCGTGTTAAGTCGATGATGTGAGGAGGAATGGAAATGGCTGCGTACGCGGATGTTGCTCAGGAGTCGCGAGCGAATGATGCACCCCCCGCGCCAGGTGACGGCCGCCGTGGCCGGGTTGATGCCCCACTTGTGCTCCTGCTCCGCCGCGCGCAGGAGCGAGAAGCCCTCAGCGTAGGAGACCACCTGCGACCAGGAAGTTGTATGTCGTTAAACACTAACCACCCCTTCGTGTCCATGTGGCGGGGAGCAAGGTACAATGCCGGCGTAGAGGGCGTGGCGCAGCTGCTCGATAAACAGGGCTCGGTCGACATGGATTGATGGCTCGGGGCCGGTGAGTATCTTGGAGGCCTTTACCCGCAGATCCTGTGGTACAGATAAAAGGTGATGTCATAAGCTGAAACACGCACGATACGACACGACACGCACGACACGACGCACGACACGACGACGCAGTACACACAGCTCGCTGATGCATGGGCATACCTTGTAGCCAGAGAGGATGCGAGCGAACACGGATTGGCTGATGAGGTAGGTGGGCACGCCCAGCTCGAATGCGGCCTCGGCGGTCCATCGGCCCGTGCCCTTCTGCTCGGCGGTGTCGAGGATCACGTCCAGCAGATCGCGCTGCGGATCGAACTCGTCGTCCTTCCTCTCCAGCACTACAACCAACCACCTCACATCAGAACAGGCACAGAGAGAGATAACCACATTATTCTTGTTGGCACCTTTGGTGCTGATGTCGATGAGATAACTGTCGAGTTCGGCGCCGTTCCACTTGTCAAAGACATCGCGCATCTCCGCATGCGTCATCCCTGCGAAAAAGATCCACACAGCTCAGGTCGTCGCGTTTCGCCTTGTGTGCGTGTGCGTGCGTGCGTGCGTGCGTGCGTGCGTGCGTGCGTGCAACAACGCAGCAGGTGGGAGCGGATGTGTCGTGTACCGTTGGCACGCATGAGGTGGTACACCTCGCAGATGAGCTGCATCACGCCGTACTCGATGCCGTTGTGCACCTGTGAGGCAGCGGTTGCGATGTAAGAAGTCCAGGAATTCAAGCAAATTCGTTCAAATTTGTAGGGATCAAGCACCATTTTGACAAAGTGGCCGGCGCCGTCCTCGCCCATCCACTGACAACACGGAACGCCCTTGCCCGACGCCGTCGTGTCCTTGCCCGTTTCATCGTCCACCTGCGGCCGGCCATCTCACATTCCTTCATCCATTCCTTCATTCTTGTGATTCTTAACGTGATTGAAGTGTACCTTGGCGGCGATGGACTGGAGGACGGGCTTGAGGTGTTCCCAGGCGTCCTTCTTGCCGCCCACCATGATGGAGGGGCCGTGGAGCGCGCCCTCCTCCCCGCCGGAGATGCCCACCCCCACGAAGTGGATTCCTGTGCGGTTGTGGGCCATGAGCGCGCAATCATTCACATGTTTGGGGGGGGGGCGAATGGTTGGGTACCCTTCTTGGCCAACTCCTCGGCGCGGCGCTGGGTGTCCTTGTAAAACGAATTGCCGCCGTCGATGACCACATCGTCGTTCTGATGTGGAAGGTGGTACGGTGTGTGTGTGTGCGTAAGTGGAATGGCCAAAGAGCAACAGGCGCACAAGCCTCGTGATGACGGTACCTGAAGGTGGGGCAAGAGCTGAGCCACCATCGAGTCCACAGCCCTGCCCGCGGGCACCATCAGGATGATCTGAGCCCAGCACACACGCGCAAGCCAATGGAGTTATATTTCCACTTTTCAACTCTCTGCAATTCTGTATAAAGAAGAACAAGAAGATGATGAGTGTACCCTGCGCGGGGTGGAGAGGAGCTGGCAAAACTCTTCGATGGTGTGTCCACCAGCGAGCTTCTTGCCCTCGCCCTTCTTCTTGATGAACTCGTCGATCTGCGCACACCGTGCTTGGGTCAGCACAGACACGTGGACAGTGGTGTTGTAGACGAACCTTCGCTACGGTGCGGTTATGGATAGCGACGCGGTAGCCCTTGTTCTCCATGTTGAGGATCAGGTTTTGGCCCATCACGCCGAGTCCCACGAGACCCACATCGCACCTTTCCTTGCTTGCCATCTACCAAAAAGAAACCTCAATTTCTGCCCTGTGCCCTACCCCAGCGTAGCGAGGGAGAGTGGGGGGGGGCAGTGTACTCTGTGTTAAAGTCTTGCTCAGGTGGTGTTTGCTTGCCTATGATGTAATGATGTAAATGGCCCATGTATGAGAGCTCGAGCAGCCCCACCTTGCCCGCAGCTTGCTCCTCCGTCAACATTTCGTCGAACTTGTTTCCTTGGCCTTTTCTCGTTACTTTTCTTCTTGTTTTCTCTCCGAGTCCCAAATAATGTAGGCCAACGAACGGTAATGTCGACTGCCTTAGAACTTGTGCGGCTGCCCCCAAGAGTACACGAAGTCGATCGTGATGAAGAACGCCGCAGCACTTGCGGAGGACGTGGTGGTTGTGCGGTACGCCACGGCGGAGATGTTCGTGGCGGCGTTGGAGCCGCACCTCCGCCGCTCGTCGTGGGCCGCCAACCTGCTCCTCGCCCCCGCCTACGCCCCCTCCGCCTCCGAGTGCCTCTTCCTCGCCACCTGGCCCTCCACCACCACCTCCGCCGGAGCCAGCCAACGACCAGTTCTGGTGTTGGCCCGCGTCGACGCCTTCCCCATCTTCGTTTCCTTCACCGACGCCTGCGATGGTAACGATGTTGAGGTGGTCGGCCGCCACGTGGAGGCGCTGGCCGAGCACCTGGCCGGCCGGGTGTCGGCCGAGTGGCTGGGCACGGTGCGGCGGGTGACGGGTCCCNCTGGCTCAGCCGACCGCTGGCCGACGCCGTGGGCCGTTGCTCAAACCGCGCGCGACGCCGCACTGGACCCT